GTGTCCCTGCCAATCGGCCACACTATAAAAACAGCAAGCAACAGTGGTTTGAACAGATCTTAACATGCGCACACAACTGACACTTCTGTGGGTGCTGCTTGGACTGGCAGTTTTGTCAGCCTCTTCTGTTCAGCCCCCAGACAGAGCTGCCTTGGCGGTGAAGACAGATGACCTCACGCACGATGACGAGGAGGAGCCGCCTTTGCTCGAGGACAAGGTCCTGGCCCCAGCTCGGATTTCGCTGAAGCCCAATTTGCGCAATGTAGGACCAGCAGTAAAATGCGCCTGGAATGGCACCAAGAACTTCGGCAGACGTGCCTGGAATGGAACAAAGAACTTCGGCAGACGCGCCTGGAATGGCACCAAGAAGGTCGCCAAATGGCTCGCCGAAAAGCTCGAAATAAGCATCGATCTGGACATGCCTAATAATAATGGCACAAAGTAAAGGTAGCCAGAAGCCTGTTGTATTTAGTGACCCACGCGGTAATTTTGAAAAATACAAAGTGTAAAATTATTTCAAAGAACAGAAAAAACCGACGCTTCGCTTTGTTTTCCTGCATCCCAAATTTGTATGATACTAGGTGGGATACTGTATGAGACCAAAGCCGTTGCTGTAACAGGGAATATTTGAGATTTGTGGATGTACACTTGCTTGGGTATAAACAGTTTACCAAAAAGGTGATCAAATCATGAAAATTCGTTCTCGTGACAGCAAGGGGTTGATAGCAGTACAGGGGACTAAGGAAAGAGACTGCACATGATAAGCGGATAGGCTAAGATGCACTTCAATTTGTGGGCTCCTTTGGGAAATTACATAAAATGTGTTAGACTTTGTGACATTGGAACATATGACAAATAGATGACGGGTTCTGTGCGGAAAATATGCAAACATTATGATTGTTTGTTTTTGTAAATTATTGTCAAAGTTCGCATGGCATCATATGTCCGATATCCAGCGTTGACAGTCAGTCAGGAAAAAATAGGCTTACGCCTTTCAACTCCCTATTTATCTCATTCACTCAGGTGACTTGGCTGGATCCAACTTCTTTATTCTGCAAACACTATCTGCGGTGTAAGGAATACAGTGCGTATAATCGAGTTTGGTCCGTTTGACGGGAGTCGTGTTAATAGAATGTCTACAAATTCAGTCGTGCATATTACGCATAAGTCTTTTTCTATCAAATAAATTTAAACTAGCGGAATCAATGTGCGAAGGTGGTTTGGTCTTATCTTGGCAGCCTACTGGACGTCGGTGACCGGTTCGAGTCCTGACATTACCATGAGCTTTGCGCAATTCTCGAAGACTATATTTTCGACTTCCATAAAAGATCGCAAACGATAAACTTTGGTAAAGTTATGGCGCGAAATTTTCACTGACATTAAACGTGCATATGTGTGTATATATGCAGAGCCGAGGAACGAGGCAAACTGCGAGTAGATTGATACAGGTTATTTCGGGCTTAATATGTCCTAAATAGTTCAAGCATGACTCTGACAACTCTGTTATCTCTGCCACGCCCACTAACTTCTGCCAGGTTTTAAACTCATTCAAGTTGAAGGTGCCTTCTTCTCAAACTATCGAAATTGGATTTGTACCACACATACACGGCATGAATCTAACGTTTGCGACTGAAATTAGCTTTAATTAGATGTACGCGTTAGAATCTCAAGAAGTACACGAAGTACAAAATCATGTATGTAAATTGTGGATGGGGGGGGGCATACGACACAGGAAATGAGATAAGCGCTAGTTGTTCAATATCTGTCCCACCATACAAGACCATTTAAAATACAATTTGGATTTTTGTCACAAACACGCGGTGATAGGCGTGGCATTTGTAGCTCAACTGGTAGAGCATTGGCTTCGCATAAAGTCCTTCCCTACTATGCGGGTTCAAATGCCGCCGAATGCCACGAGTTTTTTCACAATTGGCTCAAATAAACTGTCTATTTCTCGATAGAAACAATGGCCTAGCTTTCAAATTTTCCGACGTCGAAGAGATGAAGGAACTGCACGGCGACGGTTTCATTCATGGGAGGTTTTAGGCCGAAATATCCGGGCTAGAATCATCCATAGACAACTCACTGTGGAATATCAGCCCGACCAAAAATCGGTTCTTTATACGATATCAGATTTATTCAGGCAAGAGTTGACTGAATTGTAGATGCCCCTGTTACATAAATGGCAAGGTGGATACTGATTACCATAAATAATTACTTCTCTTAAATTGTTTTAATAACTGTCAAATCTATTATGTGCTGCTACGTAAACTTTAAACAACCAAAATAGTATTTACGGAGAACCCTTCTTTTACGAAGTACAAATAGGATTTGTACCACTGCTACGCAACACGAAGATTGCGGTTAAATCTCAAGTTCTTTTTGAAGATCGGGCACAAGCGTCAGAACCAAGTAAGCCATGTAAGCCATCACTGACGTACGTACGTACGAGCACACGAAACTGGGCGACAATCGCGCAAGCGTCAAAGTGTGCTCGTTGATTAAAAATAGCTTGCGAACACGGGTAGTGCTCTATTGGCCACTTGGCCCAGCTGATTTAGCAGTTTCTATGAAACCAAAAAAAGCATCTGCCTTGGAATACATGTGGGGAGCGGAGGAGAGGGATGAGAAGGAAACACTGCTACCCTTGGACGAGTTCTGAGGCCAACATGGATTGCTTGAGTAAAATGTTAAAGTTGAGTTGTCTATCGTACATTTTAAATACAAGTAAATAATGTGTCTCAACTCACTGAAAGAAATCGGCAGAAGCACGAAATTCAAGTTATTAAAAAACGACGACTAATTTGCGGAAATGGTTTATTCAACCTAAGTATAGGGCTAGCTA